CGAGAAATCAGTACTTTCCCGTTTTTAATACGAATTTGCATTATAGTCTGATCACTTTCTTTACGCGCGGTATGTACTTCTTTCATATCTATCTATCTTTATTGATCACGTTGTATTTTTTCTCTTTCTTTATCTACTTGTGAGACCTTCACTGGCAATTATAGGTGGTAAGGGAAGAGTAGTGCCGTAAACATTTAACCGAGGGTAGGGTACAGCAGCCCTGTTGCAACGTCGCCTAATTTATGACACCTTCAAGTGTCTCCGCAGGCACTTTTCCTACTCGTAGCTCAACTCTGGCCTCGCAATGATTTTGTTCAACGAGCATTTTCGACATTTAGGAATTTCGATTCCCTTATGTATTGTACTATGTAAATATTGAGCCTATTTACGAGAAAGATTGATGTATCAATTATTAAAGATCTAAACATATTGTACATATATCTATAGTCTCGTTCCGTCGTGTCGTTTTTAAANGGATAGGACTGGGATACTCGGTGAACTTTTCATGGGTCTGGCTCTTATCGAGGATAAGATATACATATAATAAGGAAGCCGCCTTTGCTCGGATGGCGAAAAGTGAGGAGCGTTCACTTAGTACTGTCCTCGAATTTATGGCACCCGCCATGCTCGTCTAACTAATTGTGATCATGTTGGGTCTTTACCTGTTCCGGATGTTTCAGACCAGAGCAGGTAAGAAAAACGGTATGAAAGACATGCGAGAAGAATAGTGCAATAACACAGTAAAAATTTTCAACTTCTGGATGAATACAATCAGCTTTTCTCGATAGCAGACGACAAAAAAATGGTATGAAACAGAATGCAATTAATTGTTATAATTACATTTACGATTAGAATCAGTTTGCATTGACTTTAGCTTTTGCACAAAAATATGTAAATGTTTCCATTCCATTAATGAAAGGTTTAGCTGGAATTTTGTTCTGTCTTCAACAAAATAAAAATACCATAGTTATGTTAAAATGTATGGAATAATACTTTCAATGACTGTAGATAATTTCAT